AACTCCATCATGAAGTGCGACGTCGACATCCGTAAGGATCTGTACGCCAACACCGTACTCTCTGGTGGTACTACCATGTATCCCGGTATCGCCGATCGTATGCAGAAGGAAATCACTGCCCTGGCTCCGTCGACCATCAAGATCAAGATCATCGCTCCTCCCGAGAGGAAATACTCCGTATGGATCGGTGGATCTATCCTGGCGTCACTCTCCACCTTCCAACAGATGTGGATCTCCAAGCAGGAATACGACGAGTCCGGACCTGGGATCGTTCACCGCAAGTGCTTCTAAGATGTTGCACCTGATACAGGGATTCATGATTATTCACCTGCTTTCTTTTCTTTTTCTTTTTCTGTTCGTGCTCGTGTATCTCGAGCGCCGATCCCTTCAGACATGGATGCACCGACGCTGGGGGAAAGAAAGAGAGAAGAAGGTAGAACGGGCACGGGGGAAAGAAACGAGATTTGGGAAAGGAAAAATTACTAAAGTGCCTTTATTCTACACATTTATCAGACTGTACTTTACTTTCTAGTTTGTACAACAACGACTGTTTGTTATTAACGTTATTAATTAATTTATTGACAATAATCTCCTCGGCCATTGCAGCAAGCCCTTCTCGGTCTTGTGAACATGTATACGCTGACTTACATGTATCGTACAGAGACAAACACACACGCACACACATATACAGATACAAAGGCTTTTTTGAAATCGTAAGCGCACGTAATTTGGCATTTGCGATAATGAATCGAGGTGGTAATGAAACGAGAGTGAAGTATATGATACGGAAAACCATAACCAGGCGCATCGACGTCGGCTCATATTGCTGCCTGGCGTATTGTTCTTATTATATCATATAATTGATGATAATAAAACTGTATTATATAATAATTCGATGTCGGATTATGTGAACCTTATCGAATCGTGGTATTTCTGGCGAATGTTCAAAATGATGATATAATGGATGGGAACAAATTACAAATTTTATAGACAAAGTTCAAGAGAATTATTGTGTTTTCGATTCTCATGACATTTAACTGCGGATACAGTGTGCTCTGGCAGCTAGCCAGGTCTGTGTGCAACTCAAGTGACTATATTTCTATTTCTTTTTAGCAGGCTGGCGCGGCAATTAAGGAAATAGAGAATTCATAATTCTCTGTTCTTCATTATCGGAATTTA